ATATATATATATATAGATGTGTGTGTGTGTGTGTAAATATTTTGAAAAGCAATCGCTTTCCTAAAAATTCAATAATCTAGAAAACTAGTTCTACAAATGGCAATATTTATACTGTACCAAAGGAGAAATAGAGTAGCAAGGATGCTCTACACATGAAAAAAAAAAACGCTTAAATTAAAAAAAATCGAAAGTAGGTGCTTTTTGGAACCGTTTCTGGTGAGATCAACCTCATCTATAACAAGGGGGTTTCTAAGCATTAAACAAACAATCTGCCTGGATTGGATCTGATCAATATTCATTCCGGAAGGAATGAATTTAACGAATGATCATTTTCAATATTTTATATTCTTTGAGAGGCACAAAGTTAAGATTCACGATTTTTTCCTTTCTACTTCCCATTATCTGCCTTTTAGAATCGTCATCAACAGCGATTGAAATAAGCTACATAAGACGAAAAATTGCTGAGCTTGTATTGAATTAGATTGAAAATATACCCACTTCAATAATTAATATGTCAAGACGTCATTTTTAAAACGTAAGACCTAAAAAGTATTTTTTAAAGTAAAGTTGGTTTAACTAAAAGGTAGTATTTTTCACTAAGACACAAAGGAAAAAGCTGATCTTCGATGTTTTTTTTTAAAGTTTAAAGCAACATAAAGACTAATGAGCGCTCCAGACAAAAACGCTGATCCACACCGAACTCCAATTCAATATTGCTAATCAAAGAATAATTTCCAAGGAACTCGTTCTACGGCATATTTCATCACTCGTGTTGGAGCATATAAAATAATACGAAAATGAATCAAACACGAAAATATGATTGCTTTGTTGACCTCTTTGAGAAACAAGCATGTAATAACAATAATTCTAAGTATGAAACAATTGGAAAGAAGTGTAGTTAAGGAAAAACTTATGGAAGTACGGAAACCAGAAGAACTTTCGGGACGGTTTGGTTAGTTAAAGGAAGAAAAAGGGGAATAATGCGATCTAATGTTTAAAAATTCATTTGTCTAATGGATTTTCGTACTACTTGATGTTTTGGTAATATTATTTATAGATGAATATTTTTATTTTTGATTGAGAAACAGCGACTCGCCTTCCATCACTCTATTATTCTAACCCCCTCTTAACAAGATTTCTACTTTGGTATTTAATCCAAAGAAGATCTTGTATTTTATTTTCCAGTACCATCACTTTTAATGTTAGCATTTTATTTTGAATATTGAAAGTAAGGAGAAATATCAATATTAATATAGATACCGTCACTTCTTTTATTTAATACCAATATGACATCGATTTTTTCATCATATTAAATTTCATTTATTCAGTAAAATCATGATCACTAAGAAAAAAGGGCAAGACTTCTAAAGTTAACCCTACTTGCTTATGAGATTCACAAAATTACAAAAATAAATCATAGGTTTATTATGTAAATGAAAAAAATGTGTATATTCGAATTAAATTCAAAAAAAAATTCCACATCAAAAAAGAAAGCGATATTTGAATGAAACAGTTCTCACACACCCTTTTCAAACAAAAAAAGATAGTTATTTTCCTGTATAATTCTTTTCAGAAATATATTTATCAATACTGGACAATGGCTGAATTGAAAAGTCGATGTAAGAAGTAATACAATGTCTAACTAAGCAGATAATCGATGACTACAAAAAAGGGAGAATAAATAAAGAGTCAAAAAGCATATACCTATACGCAGATTTTTCGTAGAAAAGTGGCTAGTTTCTTTGTAATTGGATTTATGACATAATAAGATCATTTTAAAAAATAACACCTCTATAACACACTTTATATATATCTGTATGTATATATCTATATCTTTCTATATATAACTATACCTAAACGAAGTACTATCACCATGCCAACAAACAGAAAAATGTTGATTTTGGATCAAATTAGTGTTTTAGCATACCAACTTGTAAAATCGCAGCGAATCTTCTTTTATGCCACCTCAACCTACCATACCCCAGTCTCTTCCTTCCCGGCAGTGATTTCTACGCGACCAAAAGATCCCCCTCCCTTGTCTGGATTAGCCTGGGGCGAGGAGGCAGGCAACCTGGTCGAAGCCGGCCTCCTGCGCGCAGTCCGCGGGAGTTCGCCCCCGAGCGTCCCGCACGCGGCAGAGCGCGGCGGCGGTGGGGTGGTCGAAG